ACTATTTTGCAGTCCCACCAACAATGCAGGAGTGTCCCAGTCTCTCCACATCCCCGCCAGCATTTATTGTCCTCAACTTTTTTGATCTTTGCTGTTATTGCTGGTGTGAGATGATATCTCATTGTTGTTTTGATTTGCATCTCTCTGATGGTTAGTGATCGTGAACACCTCTTCATATTGTTTGTTGGCTGCCCGGATCTCCTCCCTGGTGAAGTGTCTGTTCATATCCTGTGCCCATTTCTTGATTGGGGTTATTTGTGTTGGTTTTGTAGATGTGTAGTATTTTCCTGTATATTCTAGAGTCCCTTATCCGATATGTCATTGCCAAAGATATTTTCCCAGTCTGTGGGTTCTCTTTTTACTCTCTTGGTGAAGTCTATTGATGAACACAAGTTTTTAATTTTTAGTATGTCCCACTCATCTGTTTTTTCTATTTTTGTTTGTGTACTTTTCAAAATGTGTGGCAGCCTGTCTATGCCCTGAATTAGTGCCCTCACGTTTGTCCCTATTTTTTCATTGATGATCTTCTTAATTTTGGGATTCACATTTAGATCTTTGATCCATGATGAATTCATTTTTGTGTATGGCGTGAGGTAAAGGTCTTGTTTCAGTCTTTTACATATCGCTTTCCAGTTCTGCCAGCACCATTTATTAAAGAGATTGTCTCTTTCCCATGCAGTGTGTGTAGGCATTTTGTTGAAGATCATTTGGCTGTAGGTGGTTGGGTTGATATCTGGATTCTCGATTCTGTTCCATTGATCCATGTCTCTTTCATTGTACCAGTACCAGGCTGTGTTTACCACCATAGCTGTGTAGTAAACTTAGAAATTGGGGAGTGAGAGACCCCAACCTTGTTCTTCTTTTTAGCAGTGCTTTGCTTATCCTGGGTCTCTTTCCTTTCCATATAAAGTTTGTAATTGCTCTTTCCATCTCTTTGAAGAATGTTGTTGGAATCTGGATTGGGATTGCATTGTACCATCTTCATAATTTTTGCTGTGCTTGAATCCATTGTTGCAGTCAGTGTGTCTATCCATCTCATTAAAAGTTTCCCTCATTTTTTGTTGATTCTCCACTTTATCAAACACAAGGTCTTTTTCTAGTGATTGAGCTTTCTTCATGATTTGTTCAAAGTTGCTGTGAGTTAATGCACTGGACTGCAAGGTCGCAGTGGTTCATGTTCATGTAGTTGCTTCTCGGAAACTCTGTACATGATCGCTATGAGTTGAAACCAGCTCAGTGGCACTTAACAACATAACAATGGCTAATGGTCATTAACATTTCTTAATATGTTTGTTGGCTGCTTGAATGTCTTCCTTGGTGAAATATCTGTTCATGTCTTGTGCCCATTTTTTAATTATTTGTCTTTTTCTTGTAGAGGTGTTGTAGTTTCCTATAAATTTTAGCGAATTGCACCTTGTCTGATATGTTGTTGTAAAACATTTTTTCCCCTAGTCTTGGGTTCTTTTGATGAAATCTTTTGACGTACCTAAGTTACTAATTCTTAGTATCTCCCAGTCATCTGTTTTGCCCTCTATTGTTTGTGTGTGTTTTTTTGCCATGTTTGATAGTGTATGTATACCATGTATTGTTGTTGTTGTTGTTAGGTGCCATTGAGTTGGTAACCTTAAATTTGTCCCTGTTTTTCATTGATGATTTTTATAGTTCTGGGCTTTACATTTACATCTTTCATCCATGTTGAGTTAGTTTTTATATATGGTGTGAGAAATGGGTTTTGTTTCATACTTTTGCAAATCGATTTTCATACTTTTGCAAATAAGGAAGAGACTATCTTTTCCCTATTTAATGTATTTTGACTCTTTGTCAAAAATCACTTGACTATGTTATTGTTGTTAAGTGCCATTGAGTTGGTTCTGACTCACAGGGTTTGTAAGGCACGGCTTATAGGCCTGAATGAGTGACCTTGAGCCTCAAGGCGACTTTGCAGTCCAGTGCATTAACCCACAGTGCCATACCAGGACTCTAGTTGACTGTATGTGGATGGATTTTCTTCTGGGTTCTCAATTTGTTTCCATTGATCTATGTAAAGTTCCTTGTATTAATACCAGACTGTTTTGACCACTGTGGCTGTGTATTAAATTTTGAGATCAGGGAGTGAGAAGCCTCTCACTTTGTTCTTCTTGTTAAGCAGTGCTTAGCTTATGAAGAACAAAAGTTTTCTTTCCTTTCCATATAAAGGTCATGATAGTTTTTTTTCATCTCTTTAATGTTGGAATCTGAATTGGGATTGCATTCTTTATGTAGTTTGCATTGGGTAGTATCAACATTTTCACAATGTTAAGTCTTCTTATCCATGAGCATGGTATAGTCTTCCATTTTTGTAAATCTCTTGGTTTCTTGTATTAGTGTTTTGTAGTTTTCTTTGCATAGGTTTTTGTTTCTCTGGCTATATTTATTCCTAAATATTTCATCCTTTGGGTGGCTATTGTAAATTGTATTGTTTTCCTAATTTCCTTCTCAGAACAGTCTTTAATAGTATAGAGGAATCTACCTGATTTTTGTATGTTGATTTTGTACCCTGTCACTTTGCTCTTTCAATGAGTTCCAGTAGTTTTTTAGCTGAGTCTGGGATTTTCTATGTATAGGATCATATTATCTTCAAATATGGGGGGTTTACTTCTTCTTTGCCAATTTGGATGCCTTTCATTTCCCTGTCTTGCTTTATAACTTTGGATAAGACTTCCAGCACAATATTGAGTAAGAGTGGTGACAAAGGGCAACCTTGTCTGGTTCCTGTTTGCAGAGGAAAAGTTTTCAGTTTCTTTCCATTGAGAGTGATGTTGCTGTTGGTTTTGTATGTATGCTCTAATTATATTGAAGAATTTCAAAAAACACTTTGTTGAGTGCTTTTTCAGGAATGGGCATTGGATTTTGTCAAATGGTCTTTTCTACATGAATTGTTATAACCATGTAGTTTTTCTGCTTTTTAAAATTTATGTGGTGAATTATGTTGTTTTTCTAATATTGAACTATATTATGGTATTTCCAGTTGTCTCATATGCAATGTGAATGTTAGACAGTGCATAAGGAAGACCATGAAAGAACTGATGCATTTGAATTATGGTTCGATGAGAGTATTAAAAGTACTATGGACTACCAAGAACAAACAAATCTGTGTTGGAAGAAGTACAGCCATAATGCTCCTTAGAAGCCATGATGGCCAGACTTCATCTCTCATACTTTGGACTTATCAGGAAGGACCAGTTCCTGGAGAAGGACCTCATGCTTGGTAACATGGAGGATCAGCAAAAAAGAGGAAGAACAGTGGCATCAGCAATGGGCTCATGTGTAACAACAATTGTAAGGTTGTCCCAGGATCGGGCAGTGTTTCATTCTGTTGTGCATAGGGTCACTATGAGTTGGAAACAACTCAGTGGCACTTGACAACAACAACATACTTCTGCATTATCAACAGAGCCTGGTATTCTGTCACTAGTGCATTCCCACCATTAATTATGAATTATTATTATCTTGAGTTTCTAAATAAAAATAACATTAAGTGTCTCTTAATTGTTTTATTGCTATCTTATTCATTAATGAAACATTTTATTCCTTTTTTTCTAGTGGAAAAGAACCCTAAGAAATAAAGTAATCTCTTTAGACTGTAAAAGTAAAAGAGGTATCCGTGGACGTCCTGTCACTTCTAAGGCATCATCAGAAAGGTAAGATAAATGTGTATGACTTAGGATGGACTTACACTAGAGGTAAATTGTATGACCATGGGCAATTCATTTAAACCGCTTTGGATCTTAATCATCACAACTTTAAAAAATATAGTGCAAGCTAGAACTTGTGTAAGGAAGAAACCTGTCAGAGGAGAAAACCTAACAAATTTTCCACTAATGTGATGTGGCGACTGCAAGGTCAGTTTGAAATGAAGGTCGACACTTCAAACCCACCAACCGCTCCTTAGAAACACTAGACAAGGTTGCTATGAGTCGGAACTGACCTGACGGCATTTAACAATAACAACACAGAGCAATAGTAAAGTGGTAAGATTGCACTCAGTCAGAGGCTTAAAACTTTATTCCATTCATGTTACCACGTGCAGCTATACTTTGAGGAGGCAGCTCTTCCTTAGTCATATTTTGAGTTCCATCGAACCTGAGGGGTGCATCTTCTGGCACTGTATCTGACAATATTCTGCTGCCAGTCATAGTTTTTCAGTATTCAGTATTCTGGTGCTATCTTTTATTTTTATTTTTTAAAGTTTGGTTGTGAACTTAGTGACAGTTTACATGGGAGAATATTGGCTTTACATCATCATTTTGCTTCCATTCCTTCTGGGTTTTTTTTGCGCCGGGTGGGTGGTGGTGAGTTGTACACAAAAACACTCAGGAATATATAGTCATTTAAACAACTAAATGGCACATTCTGCAAGCCTGCTTGGCCATCAGCACCCAGTCCCTCTCTTTCCATGAGTCCAGAGTCCCCAGCTGCTCCCTCTCTCCATTGTCTTCATCTCTGCCTCCATCTCTGGTGTCACTGCTTCTCAGGATAGGGTCCCACATTCCACTTGTGCTCGTCTCCCTTGATGGTCTTAGGGTCCTCTGTTTCTGGACTAAAATTAAGTAAGTAAGTACGTAAGATGAATGACTCCCCCGTTTTTGTTACAAAATTTCTACATTTACAGTTGAGACAGTCGCAATTAGTCATGATAACAATTACTCACTATTGAATCATAAGATTCTTATCCCCATCTCTTTTCACCAGACCCATCTGGACAAGATGAAAACTCTTCAGTGGGGACTATACCTTCCTCTGCACATTCTTAAACTAAACTCCCTCTTGAAAACTTGTAAGTCAGTCACTTTATGCCTTTATTGCCCCCTCATTTTAGGTAGCAGATATCTAAGTTGCCCGTCCCTATCTACCCTGTATACAGAGAGGATAGGATTGATACCTGATATGAAGACTCCTTCCCTCTCAGTTGAAATTTTGAACTACTACATCCATATGTTTAGGTCAAGTTCATCAAATTGTAGAAAATTACTCATGTTTCCTTTATAAAAAAAAAAAAAATATTTTATCTTCCTCTAGTCGAGTTCTGATTATCAAACCATCGAGGCTAGGTCACATGGGTACTATCTGCAAGTTTGGGCATTCTTGTTTATCTCCCCTCACTTCATATGAGCTCAATGCTGCACTCTATTCTGCTGCTATCTTACAGCGTTCCACTGATATTCATAAGGTTTTTCAGTGACTAAATCTTTGAAAGTAGTCCATCTTTCCTTTTTCCTTGTCTGTTTTAGTCTGGAAGCATATCTGAAACCTGTTCATCATGGGAGACCCTGCTGGTATTTACAATACTGGTGACATAGCTTCCAGAATCACAGTAACATGCAAGTCATCACTGTATGACAGACTGTCAGTTTGAGGACTAAGGTGCGCCTAACTCAAGCTATGGTATTTTCAGTAGCCTCATATGCATGTGCAAGTTGGACAGTAAATAAGGAAGATCATAAAAGAGTTGATGCATTTGAGTTATGGTTGGAAGAGAATACTAAATGTAACATGGACAGCCAGAAAAACAAAGAAATCTGTCTTGAAAGAAGTATAGCCAGAATGCTCCTCAGAAGCCAGGATGGCCAGACGTTGTCTCTAATATTTCGAGTGTATTATCAGGAAGGACCAGTCCTTGGAAGGACAGCATGCTTGGTAAAGTGGAGGAACAGTGAAAAATAGGAAAAGCCCCAACTAGATGGATTGGCACAGTGGCAGCAGCAATGGGCTTAAGTGTAGCAACAATGGTGAGTTTGGCGCACGGCTGGGCACTGTTTCGTTCTGTTGTGTATAAAGTCATTATGAGTCATTACCAACTTGAAGGCACCTAACAACATCACCACCACCATAACTGAACATTTTGATCAGGGAACCTATGGAAGAATTGTGGTCAAAAGGGGAAAATGTTGCAACAGAATTTCAGGTTTTCATAGTGTCCAGGATTTCTAGAGCCATTGATACTGGAGGAACACTGAAATGAACTAAAGCCCTGAGATGATTTTTAATTCTTAAACCAAACCACATGTTGTTGTTGTTAGTAGGCTCCACCTTATAGCTACCCTATTTATAGCAGAACGAATTGCTGCCTGGCCTTGTGCTATGTCACAATTGTTTTGTTATGTTTGAGCCCATTGTGGCAGCCACTGTGTCAATCAATCTCATTGGAGGTCTTTGATTTTTTCACTGTTTATTTTACCAAAAAAGTTTGGTCCCTCCTGATACATGTGTACAGTACATTAGACGAAGTCTTGCCATCCTTTGAAGGAGCATTCTGGCTGTATTTCTTCCAAAACAGACTTATTCTGGCTGTCCATGTTACTTTTTAGTATTCTTCCCCACATCACAATTCAAATGAATCAGTTCTTCTCCAGTTTTTCTCATTGTCCAGCTTTCACATGCATCTGATTGAAAGTACCATGCTTTGTGTCAGGTGTACCTTAGTCCTCAAAGTGACAGTTTGCTCATTAACATTTTAGAGTTCTTTTTCTGCAGATTTGCCCAGTACAGTACACCTTTTGATTTTTCAACTGCTGCTGCCATGAATGTTTATTGTGGATCCAAGTAAAATGAAATCCTTGAAAACTTCAGTGTTTTCTCTGTTTGTCACAATGTTGTTCATTGGTCCACTTGTTAAAATTTTGGCTTTCTTTCCATTGAGTTGTATTCCTTACTGAAGACTGTAGTCTTTGATCTTCATCAGCAATTGTTTCAAGTCCTCTTTGCTTTCAGCAAATAAGATTGTGTCATATACATATTGCAGGTGGTTATGTTGTTATTAGGTGCCATTGAATTTGGTACTGACTTATAGTGATCCTCTGCACAACAGAATGAAACATTGCTCAGTACTATGCCAACCTCACAATTGTTGCTATGTTTGGGTCCATTGCTGCTGCCCCATGTACCAATCCATGTTGTTGGGGGTTTTCCCTGACCTTCCACTTTACCAAACATGATATCCTTCTCTAGGTACTGGTCCCTCCTTAGAATATGTCTGAAATATGAGTGATGAAATATGGCATCCTGGCTTTTCCAAAGTGCTTTCTGGCTGTACTTTTTCTAACACAGATTGATTCGTTCTTTTCGTAGTCCTTGGTACTTTTAATATTCTCTTCTAACACCATAACTCATATGTATCAATTCTTCTGTGGTTTTCCTTATTCACTGTCCAACTTTCACATGCATATGAGGCTATTGAAAATAACCTGGCTTGGTTCAGGTGCACCTTAGTCTTCAAACTGATATCTAATGTAGTACATTGTGTAATTCCTTGACTGATGATCCAGTGAGTATTGAGCAAAATGAAGACTTTGACAACTTCAGTCTTCTCTCCATTTATTATATGGATATTGTTTATCGGGTCTGTGGTAAGGATTTTTGTTTTCTTTACATTGAGCTGCTACCCAAATTGAATGCTGTGGTCTTTGCTCAACATCTGTAAGTGTTTTAAGTGCTCTTCACTTTCAGCAAGCAAGGTTATATCATCTTCGTATCACAGGCTGTTAATGAGCCTTCCTCCATTCCTGATGATATGTTTTTCTTCATATAATCCAACTTCTTGGATTGTATGCTCAGTATACAGATTGAGTAAGTATGGTGAAAGAATAGAACCCTGGCAAACACCTTTGCTAATTTTAAACCATTCAGTGTCCCCATGAGCCTACCTCTAATCCTGTTTCCATGTTCGTCTTCATATATTCCAGCTTCTTGGATTATTTGCTTAGCATATAGATTGAGTAAATTTAGTGAAAGGATATAACCCTGGCACATACCTTTCCTCATTTTCAATCATTCAGTATCTCTTGTTCTACTCAAACAGCTGTCTTTTGGTCTATGTACAGGTTCCTCATGAGCACAATTAATTGTTCTGGAATGCCCGCTCTTTGCAGTGTTATCCATAGTTTGTCATGATTTACAGTTTAATGCCTTTACAGTCAATAATGCGCAAGTAAGCATTTTTCTGGTGTTCTCTGCATTCAGCCAAAGTCCACTTAACCTCAGCAGTGATATTCCTTGTTCCATGTCCTCTTCTGAACCCAACTTGAATTTATTGCAGGTCCTTGTGGATGTAGCGCTGCAACTGTTTTCGAATTATCTTCAGCTAAGTTTTACTTGGTGTGTGATATCCATGATACTGTTTGATAATTTCTGAACTCAGTGGGATCATTTTTCTTTGGTGAGCTCTTTTAGTCAGTTGGCCAGTAGCTGTCTTCCAGATTTCTTGACAGAATGGTGAGTGCTTCTAGGGTTGCACCAGTTTGTTGCAGTACTTCAGTTGGTGTATCTATCAAATCCTGGGACTTTGTTTTTTGCTAATACCTTCAGTGTAGCTTTAACTTTTTTAGTACTATTTAATTCTTGATCATGTGGTACCTCTGGAAATGGTTGATAGTCAACCATTTATTTTGAGTACAGTGACACTGTATATTTCTTCCATCTTTTGATTCTTCCTGCATCATTCACTATTTTACCCATTGTTATTGTTAAGTGCAGTGGAATCTGTTTCAGCTCATAGCAACACTGTATACGTTTTCTGAAGAGCAGCTGATATGTTTGAACTGCCAACCTTGTGGTTAGTAGTTTGCTGCTTATCCTACGGTGTCACACCAGATCTCCCATTTTGCCGTTAGAATCTTTCAATATTGCAACCAGAGGCTTCTGT